AAGAGGGACTGGTGAGTGGGTAGGGACCCGGGTGCTGGCGAGACTGGCCGTGGGGAGGAGGCCCAGGACGAAGGGCTGCTGTCCCTGCGCTCTTTTCCGGACCCAAATGGCCCCTCGGAGAGCGGGTGGAGGTGGGGGGTCTGAGGCGGGGCGAGGTGGGAAGCTGAGCCGGTACAGCGGGCTGGGCAGAGCTGCGCGGCGTCCCCAGACTTGAGGTCAGGGGTCGGCAGACCGGGCGGGTGTGTGTCGTGAGCTTGTACCCGGGGGAGAGGGCGAGAGTCGAGACCTCAGGCACTGGGGGTGGTTTGGGGGAAGGGAGGGGAGGCGGTGAGGGATCCCCCGTGGGTCTGTGGGATGAGAAGAGAAGGAGGGGTCTAGAACCGCCTGAGTCCGCGCCTCGTGGCTTCCTGCAGGTGAGCCCCGAGGGAGTGGGGGACGAGGACTCGTGCTCCTCCTCGGCCCCGCTGTCTCCGTCGTCTTCGCCCCGGTCCATGGCCTCGGGCTCCGTCTGCCCACCTGGCAAGTGTGTGTGCAACAGCTGCGGCCTGGAGATCGTGGACAAGTACCTTCTCAAGGTAGGGCGGAGCTGCGAGGCCCAAGGGGAGCGGGGTTCCCCGGGAGCTCCGGGAAAAGAGAAAAGTTTATTTCCCCCCTCTTTTCCACTCAAGTTCTCGCTCAAGGTGGTAGGCTTTCTCATCACAACAGACCCGTCGAGGGCAACTTGTGCGGTAAGAAAGATTGGGAGAAGAAATCTTTAGTATCTCCCGTGTTGTTGCAAAACAGCTTGTGTGAGACACATCCTGGTCTAGAAGTGCGGATACCCCGGGTGGATGAACTGGAACCTGCCATCTACTTGTAGAGGAACTGAAGTGGGGAAACGTACCCATTCTAGAAACAGGGTCCTGCCTGATTATTTTCACCTAGCGGGTTATGGTCCCCAACCCCCAATAGCACCCACACATCTGCCTGCTTATGAGGGTTCCAGGTCTGTATATGTTGACTGATTTCCCCTTTGCATTGTTTCCTTTGGTGAGAACCACTGTAACGTGCCTTAAAGGGTATTTTCTAGACAAATATTTTCCACATAATCTTATGTTTATTTACAGTAACCTGAGGCTTTTCCAAAGTTAAAGTTCCTAGTAGTATCTAAATAAAAACCATTTTCAGAATCTTATTAAGGTTTTCTACTTCAAGATCACCCAATGATTTTTCTTTTATGTCTTATTCCGTGCTTAGGGAAAAAAATGGAAATTGATGTAAATTTAGACAAAAAAAGAAAGAAAAAAATGCCTGGGATGAAGTACTTCAAGTAGTGATTTGAGAGTTGATTGTCTGTCTTAATTTGTTTTACTTCTCAAGATATTGTGGGGGAGTTTTGGAGTACAAAGTCTGGCAGGCCAGTTATCCATGTCATTGCATGATCATAGTGGCATGTGTCTTAATCCTAATACCGTGGGTTTGCAACTTCAATAGCTTTTTAAAACCACTATTTAAAATAATGATCTCTCCTACACTGAATTAGTAGCAAACCAGTTCACTTTCTATCCCTCCCTCCACACCCCTCCCAGGTTTTCAAAAGAATTCATTATGAAGAATATGAGTTCAAAAAGCAAGTTAGTGAGTTTCTTTAAATTTCTACCTCAACATACAAAACTATTTCACCTGTGAAGTTGGAATGATACCCCGTAGATACAACCTAGATAAAGCCCCAAAAGAAGTTTTGGTGAAAACATTTAAAAAGTGACTAAGTTCCTTAATTGGTGGTTGATGCTTAAAGCTGGCAAGTTAACATGGCTTTCTCTTTAATTCTGCATTCTTAAGATTCCCATTTCATTGTTTCTAGACCTGCGCCTTTTTGGGGTATATTTCAAAACCATCTTTTGTATCCAAAACTAGTTTCTTATTTTCAGTGAGCCTTCTCAATAATTAACATAATCTTTAAGAATGTTTCTGAATGGATCTGTAAGGTGTTTAACACTTCATAGCAGAGAGGATAAAGGAAAAAGTTACTATAAAGTGACTTTTAACATATCCTCTGAAATAGAAAAAATAGTTTCTAGTGTTCATCTTTATATGTTTAAAATATGTTTATATATTGTATATAATAATTTATCTAAATGAGTTATATAAAGCTTTCCTTTGTAACAAGACTGAAGTCCTCTCAGTGAAGTCTTCTATGTACAATCTTAGTCTACCCTTGCTTATAAATTTTAATACATGTACAAGAAAGCTAATTCTTATTATGTAGAAAACTAGCTCTAATAAAAGTTTGACATTTTGTGATTATATAAAAACTCTTGAGTTCTTAACTCTCCCCCCATTTTGAGTGTTTATTCCTCCAGATAAATTTGAACTCAATTTGAGTCATTGATTTAAAAAATAACTGTTAGATCTAGTAGAATATTTCAGGGTGTAACTATTTAATATAGAATAACACCATATCATGAGACAAGTAAAATGGAGTTAAAACAAAAAACTATGAGAGGAGTTAGATCCATCTATTTTTTTTAACTTTTTTTTTAAATTGAGGTATAGTCAGTTTACAGTGTTGTGTCAATTTCTGGTGTACAACATAATCAGTCATACATATACATATACACATATATTCATTTTCATTATAGGTTATTACAAGGTATTGAATATAGTTCCCTGTGCTATGTAGTATGAACTTGTCATCTATTTTATGTATAGTAAGATCCATCTATTGCCCCATCCAGTACTTCAGTGCTCTAGTCATTTTGAGTGATTTTTTTCTGGCTTGGTCCTATATATGTATACATACACAGATTGGATCAATACCAGCCATCATGGAAGGTTTGTTATCTTCACAGTTTTTTCTGTTCACCTTACTTTCCTCTCTGGAGAAGAAGTGGAATATGAAGGAATTTTTTTTTTTAAGTAAACTTTGAGGAAAGGTGGCAAACCAGGCATTACACCTGGCTTTAGGGAGCTAGAGAGCGGCCATGAAGCCCGAGTCTATCCTTGCTTAAAAAAAAAAAAAAGAGTGTGGGTAAGAGCTAAATACAGAGGGTCTTAAACAGGGAATACTAAAGGAAGCTCCTTGTACTTCTAAACTTCCACTTAATGGGGCCCATCTTAGGGAAAAATAGAAAGAAAATGCATCTTCAAGGATAGCTTTCACTATTACTCATTCCTTTAATTCTGATTTCCTCAGAGTTTTTCCTATTGTTTCTTTACTATTTCCCCTGCTTTCTCCTATGTGAACATGTAGTTCTTTTATAGCAATTTAAAATTTCACTAAAATATTACTCTCATTAGTGCTTTGCAGAGAGGCATATAACTGTAATTAGAAGCCAGTGAAACTTTCTTTTTTAGCTTTGAAGTACGTTTTATATTTCATAGCTCAGAAAAACATGTTGAACAGTAGTGCTAATATGATAGAATCATTGGACAGATCATCTTTATTATGAAATAGTGGAACCAAAGCTGTATTTCACAATTTCCCAGTTTTCCAATGTCTTAATTTCTATTTTAGGCATTGGATTGATTTGTAGAGCATAACTGGTGTTTTTGCCTCATTGCCGTTCTTATACATGAGGTTTAAGTAAGCATTAATCTGGTTCTCAGTTCCATTTAACAAGAGCAAACTTTAGGAGCCTGCATTACAGGCAGATTCAATTCAGTACACATCTTCATTCTTGAAGGCTAAAGTTGTGGTGCTTGTAGTGTGATGACAACTGTTTAAGGTGAGGGTAATTATGATTTGTTCCTTGAATTGAGAGTATTTCATGCCCCTGCTTAGAATATAAAGTGCTGGTTTATGTCTTACTC